ATTACAAACAGTAAACCATTAGATAACACATAGTAGTCTAATGGCCGAGCGCTCGTATTTTCCAATCCACTAATAATGCATAAGAGGATATCATTGACTCTTTATAGGAGCTATGGATTCCACTATCTATGAATAACGAATCTACGCATACACAAGTCATACCCCCAATGTACCAGCAAGCGTACCTTTACATAATGTCAGGATGTCTCCCTTTAATACATCAAAGGATACAAGTCAAGCATACAGGTTCATCATCCATCTCAGGATTAAGATGACAACATATAATTCGTCAAAAGTGAAATATTTTATTCAAACAGAATTACTAATTAAAACAATTCAACTTTGGTCCGATCCAATATAGATTTCACCATTAGAAACTGTATCAATGTCTCCACCCATGGAGTCCCACCTCCGACGGCCAAGACAAGCCGTCTCCGTTAGGAAGTAGACAACATAACAATCTTAACATGAATAAAGCGCCCAACTTTATTCCTTCGATTGTGGATCATAAGATTTAGACTATCATCTTTAGATTCTTGTCTTCCGCATGTTCTTCACATTACATGCATGACCTAAAGATTTAGAATGATAGTCTCAGACTTTCAGTTTGCTTATCATACATTCAACTATTATGAACATCAAGAGGACAATACATAGATATATGAAATAAACAAATATTTATTAATAGTCAAAATGTCTCAAAGAATATTGTTACATTTATTCCTAAGGGCATAAACGCTAACAGTTTCCATATTTTATCATATTTTTGTATTTATATTCATTTAAGTTTTATTTTATTTCATTTAGTTCGGTTGCCTATATAAAGTTGAGTTTTGATAATCGCGGTACTTAGCAGTAATTTAATACTCAATTCCTGTGGAGACGATACTCACTCACCCTATACCAGTAAAACTTGACTCCGTACGCTTGCGGGCGAACATTGACTTAGGAATGTCGAATTCCAATATTAATTGTGTTTCCTTGTACCTTGTGTGATACATGGAGATCTAGATATAAGTAGTTATTTTTTATATTTTATTGTCGTAACTTTCTAATTTAGCTTTATTTTGTTATTAGTTTGTTTTTATCTTAGTTGATATTTTGTTATCATTTTTTGTGTGAGCTATAAATAGCCACTTAGCTATTGTATTAAGAAAGACTTAACATTTGATTTTGAACATAAAGTTTGAGTGTTTTATCTCTAATTTGAGAATTTTTCTATGTGGAGTTTCTTTTTGATGGATTTAGTATTGCATGTCTCGTCTTCTGTCCGGGTTAGGCTAGTAAAATTCAACCCCTATCCATTCCATGCATCATTGAGTCTCGAAGTTTCAATTCTTGTTTCTAGTAAAAAATATCCCATTTCTTTTGGCAAATTTCATATTTTAATATATTTAATAAGTTAGTCTCTAGTTTTTGTTTTGCCTATGTATTTAGACGCCATCTTTTAATGAAAATCAATGCTAATTAATGAAATTTGAGTTTTCTCTTTATTTTTTTATTTTTAGTCTTCTTGGCGAACCAATGAATTTTATTGTTAATTTTTTACATTCTGTGTGAATCAACGCATTTTAAAACAGTTTTATTAGTATTCTGTGTGAAGTTGATTTATCATTTTTTTATTTTTTTTATTTTCTTTTACCTAATTATTAAGGGCTTGTTCGGTTACATTTTTGAGTTATGGTGACTTGAGTGTAGATCTTGTGTTAAATTTGAGTTGAAGTTGTAACTTGAGTTTGTGTTTGGATGTACACATTTGAGTTATGATTTGAATTGAGAATCTATTTGAATTTATGTTTGACTGTGTCAAAACTTGAATTTATATTTAGATAGTATTTTGATAAAAACTCAATGGTGATGAAAAATTTTAACAGGGTATAAGGGTGGGGTTTTATTCGTCTCTTTGTTATGAACCCATAGAAAAAAAATCATTTCAATCGGAATTAAAACGAAAAGGTTATGACGTTTTTAATAATAGAAAAAATATTGTTCATTAATTTGATTTTAAATTTAAGAACTTAAGTTGAAGAGGAAACTGGGTCCGTTCACTTCGCTGATTCGAGTTTGTAATTCAAGTTGAGATGTAATTTTATGTGAGAGTTTTTTACTGTAGCAAAAAAGTTAGATGTGATTGTTTGTGAGAGCTTTTTACTGTAGCAAAACTCGAATTCTAAACTCGAATTGGTGAAGTGAACGGGACCTTAACCTCAGATTTTAGCCCCAAACTCAAGTTAAAACTCGAGTTAAAAGTCAAGTTCAAACTCAAATTTTACAAACGAACATGAACTTGAAAAAAGTTATAACTTGAGTTTAAATTTTTTTAAAATTTTACTCTAAAAGAATAAACCCTAAGGGTGCGTTTGAAATTCGTTCCAAAATGATTTTGTTTTCTGTATAAAAATGAAAATGAAAACGTCTTCATTTTCATTTTGGCATCATTTCTGAAAATATGTTTGGTAGTTTTATTCTGGGATTGTTTTCAGTTAAAAAAACTAAAATTGTGTTTGGTAGTTTAATTTTTAAAAACATATAATAATATTTAAAATAATTATATATTAAATAAATAATTATATTAAATATATTAAATAAACATTATATACATGGCAGTCAGAGAAGAGTGGTCCAGTCGGGCAAAGAAAATAAAAATGGAAAGGAAAACGATGGTAAATCATTTTCAATTTTGCTGAGTTTTTTGGAATAAGTAAAAAACGTTTTCAGTTTTTATTTTTCAAAAAATGCGGTGCCAAACGCATTTGTGAGTACATTTTTATTTTTTAATTCTTAAAAAATGTAAAAAACGTTTTTGAAAATAATTCTAAACAGACACTAAGGGGTTGTTCTTTTGTCTAAAAAACTCAAAAAAAAAATAACTCGAGTTCTAACTTTATTCAAGTTCATGTTCTTTTAAATTTTAACTTTATTCAACTTTACTCAACTTTATTCAAATTACAACTTCAACTCAAGTTATAACTCAAATTCAACTCAAAAATTACACTCAAATTACACTTTAAAAGAACAACTCCTAAGTTTCCGCTACGTGACTCCATCTCTACCAAGTATCGCTCGTCCAACAAGGTACACTTCCAGCGGTTTCGATTATTTTACGATTTAATAATACGAATAGGACTACTCAACGAATTATCACAATATGAATGCAGCTACAGATCTCGAGATATGATACTAATTAACTCATAAATGAGCTGTCGATGCATTATAAGACCAAGTAATTAATACAATGTCTTCCACACAAAATCTGCACAATCATTTAGTGCTCTATGAGTCATTATTGTGAATTATTAGGTGCATTTCAAATTGATTTTTAGTTGTTTTTAAAAGTATTTTTACACGTTTTTTGAAATATGTAAATAAAAATAGTTTGTAAATCTATTTATTTAGCAAATATTTTAAAAATAAAAATGAAAACAAAAAACAATAATAATAACTTTTATGAAAAAACTAAAAATTTAATAGAAAGTTGTTTCTCTTTTCTCTTTTTATTTTATAATACTTATTAACAATGTTATATTAAATTACTTATTAATTATCAGTTATATAATATATTAATTAATAATCAATAAATAGATGACAATTACTTAATTAATAATTAATAATTAATTCATTATAATCAAATTTTAATTTGTTAATAAAAATAAATAATAAATATAAATAGTAATTAACTATTTAGTTAAATATTAATTGCCAAAAATTGATTATAATATACTAAGAATTAAAAGTTAATGATAGTTTATTAAGGACATAATTAATAAGTAATATATCAGTCGTATAACATAAAGAGTAATTACTCAATTAATAATTAATATCAAATTATAATTCTTAGTTGTGTAATATGTTGATGAATAATAATTATTAATTAACAAATTACTTAGTTATATAATTAAAAGTTAATATTATATATAACTATTCAAATAATTAGTTAATAATAACTAATTATTTAATTAGAAAATAGAATACTAATAAATTTTTAATGTACTAATTATTTTTTACTAATAGACTAACTAATAATTATAAGTACAATACTAACATAGTAATTACTTATATATTTATTATATATTACTATTTTTTTAATTATTTAGCATATTTATATATAATTTAATTACGAATTACTCATTTAATAATAATATATCCAATATTATTATATTATTAAGATATTATCAATTATCGATTACTTAATACATTAATTTAAGATTATTAATTACATGTACTCAAAACAACATTTCATAATATAACTAAACATAATTTTTTTATTATATTGAAAACAATCTCTTAAAAAATCAATAAAACACAATTTCGAAATCAATCTCAGTATTATTCTTAAAACAATCTTACTTTCACTTTTGAATTAAAATAAAATCATTTTGAAAACATTGTCAAACCGGCTTATTGTGTCGTGCAGGCGGGGGCCGATTATCCAAATGCACGTTTTGACGAGGAAAACTACAATGATTTTGCTAATGTAATATTTAATGATAAAGTTCAGTCAATCAATAAGGAACGTCTTTAGTTTGTGATTCTAGAAAGAATATGATGTTTCACGTGTTGGCTTATTGATCGTTTTGGTTAAATTTTCTAATGGTGAATATTTTAAACTCCATCAATTTGATATCTGAACATTTCAAATATGTATCAAATTCATACATAGGCCGATCAACGTCCCTCAATTTTAACTAAATTAAGATAGCAACGAAAATTTCTAAAAGTCAAAAAAGGAAAAGAAAAAACTAAAACAAAAACAGAAAAAAAAAATTCCTTCATAATGTTTCTTGTTTGTTCAGTTTTTTTTTTTTTTTTAATTCTTGGAATGTTTGTTCCCCTTCTCCTTTTTTTTTTTCCTTCAAAGACATTCCTATTATTATCTTGGTCAAATCAGAAATATTACTCTAAATAGTAAAAAATATTATTTATGTCACTCTACTAAATAATAAATCATTGTCATTTAATTAATAAAGAAAAGTTAAACGACTACAATAGCACTCAATTATTTAGAATGATATAAATATAATAGGCTTACACAAAATCATGACAAACCATGTACTTATATCTTTTTATTAATACTATTAAATGCAACAACACTGCTAATGTTCAACAATACGTATAATTACATAGCAGCAATGTCAACCATACTAGCTATTTCATGTTTTTAGTTTAAATAGATAATGGTTTAGTTTTTTTATGGCTTTTTTACCCTCCAACCATTAGCTAAATGGTTAGCTATTTTAGAAAATATTTTCCACACTAGTTAAATATATCTAGTATAGAGAGATTAGCCATTTAGTTTTTTTATGAGTCCACTATTGAAGGGGTATGATACCTTGTTTAAAGAGGCACGATCCTAATGACTGCACAGATTTGATATTCATCATGAGAAGATTGAATGGTGAAAAAACCAAATATAAGCGATACATAAATTTCCTTTCATTAGAGATCTCCAACAATATTTCAACCACCTTTCAATATGGCTTCTCATCTTAATTAGCTTAGAACGCGACGTCGCTAATTATTCCAAATTGAAGTTTCTGATCAGAAATGACATCAATAGAACAATTAGCAACGACCTTTTCAAAAAGTCGTTGCATAAGAGCTTGTTTGAAAGAGCATTTTAAAAGCTATTTTTAGCCTCCTACTCCAAGAACTGCTCTTAAAAGTGTTTATATTTTTGTCAAATGTACTTTAGCTTTTTAAAAGAGCTTCTAATTAAAGATAAAATGAATTTATAAAAAAGGAAAAAGCACTTTTAAATAGACCTTAAAAGTTATAGAGTTTTATTAAGGTGCTGTAAACTTAATTCCAATACTTTTGTTGTTTATTAACAAAAATTTAAAAATGATTTCAACTCATTAAGCTATTTTATTCCAACACTTACTGAAAAATTATAACTTTTATTTCTCTTTTTCTGCTGATTAAAAACAAGGGCAAAAGCGCTGCCAAATGGCCCGCAAATATTGTTAGAATCTAATGTGCTAGTTACTTATACGATACACATCCACAAAGACTTATTTCATATCAACTTATAAAACCTTGTGCAATACATGGAGAGCTTAGATGGTGACCTCACCAAGACTAATACAACAACTGATTAGCTCTCTTAAAGTAATTAGCATAAACATTCATCACACAAATTAGGAGTTTAAGTATCATAACTACTGGACAAACCAAAGCACTACAATTATACAATACTTAGTACCATAAGGATATTTCCTTAATAATTTGATCATATCTATATGATCTATGCCTTGCCAAAGTGGACATCAAGATCTTTGCTGATGTTGACCATCAGTTTAACGTATTTATCTGGAGGTGGAACACCCTCATTCAGCTTCTCATACTCAATGCTAAGTTTTGCAATGCTGCCTCTGCCCTTAGGATTCGGAACCACATGATAAACTGGCTTAAAGACCTTGTATTCATTGAACACATCTCCTTCAAATCCATTCAGAATCACTGCCTTGTTTGCATCGTCAAATTCCACCTTCTCCTTGAACACCCCACTGGTCCCGTCTTAAAGAGTTTTCACAACAAAAATCGCCATGAGGGATAACATAATTAGTGACAACAGTTTATCGATCCTTTCGGTATAAGTAATATTCGGAATACCAAGTCTAATCAAACTCTTGTACCAACTCATTCTCACTCGTCATTTTTTTATTAATATGTGTTTAAAAGATTGACACATCAATTACCGATTAAAAAAATGATAACTCAAGAGTTAATTAGAACAAAAATTCATATTAGAGTCGACGTCACGTAACATTAGGTAAACTGTGATAACAAGGAGTATTAATATACAATGAGAGATAACATTAGGTAAACTGATCCCATCTTAAAGAGTTTTCACAACAAAAATCGCCATGAGGGATAACATAATTGGTGACAACAGTTTATCCTTTCGGTATAAGTAATATTAGGAATACCGAGTCTAATCAAACTCTTGTACCAACTCATTCTCACTTGTCATTTTTTTATTAGTGGGTGTTTAACAATTACCGATAAAAAAAATGATAACTCAAGAGTTAATTAGTACAAAAGTTCATATTAGAGTTGATGTCCCATAACATTAGGTAAACTGTGGTAATAAGGAGTATTAATATACAATGAGAGGTTGCCAAAATTAAAATAGGTTAATGGACTTATGTTATAAACAAGTATAAAAACCAATTTATTATTAATGATCCAAGACAAAATATCAATCATGATTAAGGTTTTTTGGCCTTACCAACTGTGTATTTCCAGCTCTTAACACCTCCATGAGTATGCCAGTCACCCTCATGGCAATCAACACCCTGAATATGGTCGCCGGCGATGTTCGGAATGTGGTGTGCTTGTTTCCAGATATTGTAGTACTTCTCAACACCTGCGTTGATTTCAATTTCAGTCTCTACCTTTCCCTTCAGATTCGACATTTTTTGTGTTGTATATATTCTAGTGATGATATATAATTTTAGAAGGATTTTGTCTCTTTAGCTAAAGATATAAAGGCAAACCCGGAACTTGTGGATCTAACCCCGATTTCCCCTCCTTATATAAGCAACCGTTGACAAATTATGATTGTGTCTTCCCATGCTGAAGAGAGGAATTAAAAATATTATCCATGCTTTTATTTTTCAATCACAACTTGCACGTAAGCATGACGAAAGTGGATCGTATTTAAGGATTCACAAACACACGTTTCCTATTAATTAAGAAACAGATCAGATCCAAAGCAATTACTTCTTTGACTTCATTAAATTATATTTTTCGAATTTCTCAATTCAAATATTTTTTACAAATATAACCCTATTTAAATACTATCACTACAATCCTCTATATATATTCTTTTTCTAATTTCTCAATTCAAATATTTTTTACAAATATATCCGTATTTAAATAGTATTACTACAATTCTTTATATATGTTAAATTAGATGTGGTTCCACACATCAATCCCATAAAACCACAATTGTACATACGTATGCAATTTATATTACATGTTTATTAAGTATACCAAATCGGACCTTTCAGTTAGTAAAAAATTCGATAGAAGTTCTTGATAAATTATAATGTTAATTTGTGAATAAATACTTTACAATATGTTAAATTAATTTTTTAATAGAACTTCACCCGACGCAGAACGCGGACAAAAAACTAGTATGTTGAAAAACCACGGAGAAATGGGAAAGGGATTACAAATGCAAATCGCTGGCCAATTTTCGAGTGTCGTCACTTGAACAATCCGCAATAAGAACAATCGAAGAATGAAAAAATTATTTAGACTATAGACCGAAAATCGTTTGTCAGTGGGTTTTATATGTTCTATTTTTGTGTTTTATTTTTATAAAAAAAAAAATTAACTTGTCTGTCACTTCACTTCCTTCAAGAATCAAGATAGAAATGTAAGAGAAAATGTGTCAATAAGAGAAAGGAGAATTCTATTTACCTCTCTTTTCTACTCTCTACACCCGCCTTTAATTTAAATTTTTCAGTACAAAAATACACTCATATAAAATGACCAAAAAGACAATTATAATAGACATAATTATGAAGTTTATTATAAAAAAGTTAATAATAGGATATTTTTCTCTCAACACACCTCACCAAATACTTGTCATATTCCCAAATTATAAACCATTGTTGTTTTGAAATCTAACATAAACCCTTAATTTTCACATTTCAGTGATCATTCCAAAAACTTTTATAAAGGTATGTTTAATTTTCTTTACTATTTGTTGCATATTAATTGTTGTTTGTCGTTTTCTTTTCGTTTTGTATTTATATTTTTTTTTTCCAAGTCATTTCTTTCCTTAAAAAGGTTAAACATTTCGTTTGATATTTTTTCATATTTTTATGAAGGTGCATTTTTTTTTTACTTATTCTTATTTTTTGTTTTTCGTTAGTTTGTCCTTTTGACATTTTTATCAATACCTCAATTGATATTCCTGTTTTGTTTTTCTTTATTTACTTTTTTTTTTTTTTTAAATTATTAGTTATCTTGGATTTTATTCTTTTGTCTAAAATGCCCTTCATTTATCTAAAAAAAAAATGTCGTAGAAAATTTTCTTTATATATGAAAAAAGTCTTCATGCCTAACGTTTCAATTAAAAAATAGAAAGATATAGAAATGATATTTTTTTAAGAATAGAAATGATAACTTTAAATTAACGAATTAAAATCAAAATGGTGGATGTGTAAAGAAAAATAAAATGTTCAAAAATTAATAACGTTTTTAATTAAAAAATTAATAATTTTATGAAAATAGTTAGGGATAGTTTTGAAACAGTAGGGTTTTGTGGAAAGAAAATTTAATCATTTTAAAATTATATGGGGTGCGTATAATCTCTTTAAAAAGGGACTATGAAGATAAAGGGGCGTGTGAAGGGAATCTCACAAAGGAGAGAAAATGTGGTAATAACAATTAATTCCCAAATGGGCAACTGATACCTCGCTACTGTGAAAATGGACTAGTAATTGGTTTACTTTTTTTTTTTTTTTTTTGAAATACTAAGATTTAAGTTTTAAATTACAAAACATAATTTATGATATCATTATTTGATTATTTTGGATTGTTTTTCTCTTATTTTAATGAGTGTTATTGGTTAGTTATGAAATTTAAATGGTTATTATAGTGATGACATCAACAGTAATACTATAGATTAAATTTTGGTTAATTTTCGGTACTTATAAATTTGTTAACGGAAAATAAAATAAAATAAAAACAGATTTTAAAAGAGATATTTAAATGGCTATTTATTTGAATACTAAGTCGTGTATATACATAATTGTAGTAAATAGTGTATTTTTAAAATTAAATTAAATAAATAGCAGATTTTATAATATTTAAAATAAATAGCAGCAAAAATTTTTACCTCGTAAATTTTTTATTTATAACTAGATTTATGTGGTAACAAAAAATTTTACCACATAAATTTCTTTTTTAAAACTAAATTTACGTGATAAAAAGAGTTTTTACCACAATTTTTTTTTTTTTTTGAAATGCCACCACATTCAAGTGAGGTTTAGGGTGACTCAAACTCTTAATTTATGATTAGAGTAAAAGGTTTTACAACTAACTAAACTGTCCTCACTCGTCTTACCACTTAAATTTTTAAAAGCTATTTATTTTAAATAATTTAAAAAATACTATCTACTTCAATTATTTACTGAAATATGTTATTTGCTTCCTTCTCCCTTATTTCTATTTTATATTCTTTAGTTGGAAGCCCAATAGTTTATTAATGCCGTTGTTTTGTGCGATAACTAAATAATGTTTAATTGTTCCGCAAATCTTGGATATAAATTTTTCTGACTCGTCAATCAATAATATGGCTATACAAGTCATCTGGGGCGAACCCAGATGGTGGGGCTTGAGGTGAAAGCTTTCAGGATTGAAATTTAAAAAGCACAAGAGAAAACCTAAATGTGTCTGTAACTGGCGACCTCAAACCCTAAATCGCCATTATCAGTGGAGAATTTCAAGGTACCACTGTCGGCGATAGAGAAGTTGGGGTATTCCGTCCTCACCACGATTGGGGTTCTTACTGGAAGCGCACACACGTTCATTCATTGGGTCCAATTCGGTAAATTTTATCTGCTTTTCCTTTCGTCGTTTTTGTTGCCTCCGTGAATTAATCATCTGATGGGCTTAGAAATTACTGTACCTTTCAAGGTACCACTGTCGGCGATAGAGAAGTTGGGGTATTCCGTCCTCATCACGATTGGGGTTCTTACTGGAGGCGCACACACGTTCATTCACTGGGTCTAATTCGGTAAATTTTATCTGCTTTTCCTTTCGTCGTTTTTGTTGCCTCCATGAATTAATCATCTGATGGGCTTAGAAATTACTGTACCATTGGTGTATAGTTTGACCGAAGCTCTCTGCAATGTTGAAAAAAAAAAAAGCTGATTCATGAATTTTTTGTGCACTATGGGTTTATAGATGTTGGATTTGAGCTTAGATATAGCTTAGATATGGATTTGAGATTCATGAATGGTAGATCAAAAAAATTGTTCGTGGATCACATTTTTGCTTTCATCATGCAATTTTTCTGCCTTCTACATTTTCCTTGTATGTAGCGATCAGAGTTGTGCCTAGAAATGTGGAATGTTCTTCAATTTGAATAACGGAAGTTATTTTTTTCCTTCATATAAATGGATGAGAATTGAGATGGTAGTTGGAATAACGAATTTGTCAAATGAACACATCACAACTTGTATTGTGGGTCAAACTTGTAGCTCAAATGGACTCCTAAAACACTAACTGCAATTTCAGTTACAATTTCAATCTAGGTTATAACTCTAAACCATAACTCAATTCAAATTGTAAAAATTTAATTGGTGAAATGAACACATCCTTAATTTATGATTGGAGTAGAAAGTCTTACTACTAACTAAACTACCATCACTCGACTTACCACTTAAATTTTTAAAAACTATTTATTTTAAATAATTTTAAAAATACTATTTACTTCAATTATTTACTGAAATATGTTATTTGCTTCATTCTCCTTTATTTCTATTTTATATTCTTTAGTTGGAAGCCCAATAGTTTACTAATGCCATTGTTTTGTGCGATAACTAAATAATGTTTAATTGTTCCGCAAATCTGGAAAAAACATATTATCGATTTTTTAATTCCAAGCTACGTCAACATATGATCTTGCATATAAATTTTTCTAACTCATCAATCAATAATATGGCTATACAAGCCATCTGGGGCGAACCCAGATGGCAGGGCTTGAGGAGAAAGCTTTCAGGTTTGAAATTTGAAAAGTACAAGAGACATAGACCCTCACAATAACAATAATAATAATAATAATAATAATAATAATATGGCTATACATTACGCGTAATCGAAAATATAACTATTAAAAACTTGTTCATGCAGGTACTTATATATAAGATTATCAGCATTAATATTTGACATTTTATTTATGCTTCCTTTTATAATAATTTACGATATCTAAATCTTCCATTAACATTTTATTTTATATATAACGAATTTGTTCACTAGAACAAGAAAACAAAGATTATGAATATAAACTACTTATCTTATCTTATATGATCTAAGCAGAAAAGGAAACGGTCTTACGAATGATCTTGCGTGTATTCAAACTTGTTCATGAAAATATATCCAAATTGATTATTATTGCCAAACTCAAATAATTTCTGATTGGTGAAGTCATTACTTTCACGAACTAATTATTCAGACAGAAATTAGTTAAAATAGGGTTTCAATTTTTTTAAGAATTCAAATTGATGGTAGTCCTTTTTTGAGATTGTTACTTAGCAATTTAATTTTAGTAAAATTTAGGTTTACAAGAATTTCGTTTTTATAATTTGTCAATAGGATAAAAACTAACAGTCAGATTTGGTAATAGTACTAAAGATAATAACGAATCGAAAGAATAAATAAAAAAAATGACCGGCTTGGATCGTGTATCAACGGCCAATCTACGTTAGAAGAGAAGGTTCCGTGGGAACAATCGTCAAACTTGTTTTCATTATATGAATTGACTAATGGTAAGGGGTGTCCTTCTAATTTTTCAAATTCTTCAATTGTTACTGATCTCTCATAAAATATTTCGGCCTAAATTGTGTTTTAGTAGTTTAACA